TTTTGAGTAGAAGGTCGAGAAGATTAATACTTTTAAGATAATTAATAGTAAATTCCTTTATAATGCGGATTAGAGAGGCTGGGATCCTAATCCTGATTATTAGCTTACCTCTAACTTTAAATACGCCCCGAAGCTCTTTAAGGATTTTTACAAGGCTAACCCGGATATTTTAAGACCCCCTAAACGGTTAATAAATTAATTAAATAAGGATTAGGAGGAGTACGACGATAATAAACTACTAGAGTCATTGGGATTAAGGCGTTTAAGGAGGATTTTATATAAATAGGTAATTAGTAAGATTTATAGACGAATCTTTTGTAAAGGGGGGGGGTAATATAACGGCGCCGGCCTAGCTATACTGCTATACCCGCTATACCCCTATAGAAGGACTATTATTACGAAGTGTCGGAAAGTACTACGAAGGTTAGAAGAACGAGTAATATAGACGGATCGTACTAAGGCTAGCCCAGATAGGCACTAGGCCTATTGAAGGTATTTACTCTTATTTATTATATAGGTGAAGGGGAATACGAGTAAAGGGATTAGTTATTAATAATCTGCATATGGGTCCTGCTGTCGCTTATATATTAGGGTATTTACTTGGGTTTACAACGTTTGTACCTAGTTCTCTTCTTCTTCTTCTCCTTACCTAAAATCTTCTGTTATAGATGGTATCTTAGCCCTGCCTTCTATTTCGCCATCCTGTGCCCTTGTAGAATTGTATAAAAGCAAAATAATTTCAAATTATACTAGTTACCGGCTATAAAGAAGTAAATCCAAATATTCGAAAATAAAGGAGTTTATACCTTCGTCCCCAAATCCCTAGATATAGAAGTTCTATTTAGAAAATAGGTATATAACGAAAAATATAATATTCATACTAAAAATTAGAAAGCCAGAGCTAGATAGGTAAATTATAATAATTGCGAACAAGGCAACTGGGCGGTACAAGAAATCTACGCAACGGTAGTACACTCTATTAATATTGGACTCTTCTTAGCTGTTATAACTATAAATAATTACGAGTATTACTAATTTAATTTTAATACTATTTTTTTAAATACTTTTATCTCCAACGATACCTAATATTATATTGAGCAACCAACAACGCTTAAAAAGCCTATACCTAGTTATAACAAAGAAGACGTAGTCTACCAGCTTACTAAGGCTCTTTATAATTTTAAACGTTCCCTACTTTACTAATTTAATACCCTCGTACCAATATTCAAAGAAATTAACTTTATCCTAGTCTCTATAAATTCTTACTTACTAACAAAGTACTAGGAGCGCTATTAGTCCTCTATATTAATAACCTTCTCGTTACTATACTAATTGTGGCTACTATCAATTAAGTTAAAGACTAGTTGGCTAACCATTTCAAACTCAAAGAGTTGGGACAAATACGCACATTTCTAAAGAGTTAACCTCCCCGCACGCACCCAAAACCTTGAGGTACGCACCCCCACCAAAAAACTGGGGCGGTTCAGCTGATGACACCTGACATTGAAATTCCCGTTTTTACCGGTAAAATTTCGTCTTTTCAATGCACGCAACATCGCTCTAACTTAACCATTTCTTTTCACCCTTTTTCACACGGCCAGTTACACGCATTTACACCAGCACCAGCACCAGCACTCTACACGCTTTTACACCAGCACTTTATACGTATCTACAATAATACTCTATACTCTACACTATACTCAACGTACGTAAAGTTATCGTATTCAAATGATTTTTAGTCTAATTATTCGCTGTAAATGCCTTCTACCGTAACTGTACCCTCAAAACGCCCTCGTCGCACATCGCACTCCTCGAATAATACCTTTACTTCTAATACCTCCTTTAACCCCGATACAACATAGATTATACCAGCCGACGACCCCCTCTTCTCTCTCGAGCCCATTAATAACTACAATTAAATATACGCCTAGTTCGTTACTTTCTACCGTCGTTATTGCTTTAGTATTTTAATTTAACGTAGTTAGAAGTATAATAAATTAGGCTATAAGGCGTATAATTCTATTGTTAAGGTAGTATTTCAATACGACTACGTAGAGTATCAACCTCAAGCCCCTCCCAATAACAATAATTCGAAGAAGCGCTCTATATCACGAAAGAAAGCTCGCTACTATCCGTTTAAAAATGTACTCCAGCTCAAAAAAAAGTACAGGATAGGGACGGACTGCCCGGGCTATAAACTTAACACACGAAGGCCATCCCCCGTTACGTACTCTAAAAGGCTATTTTATATTTTACATTAAAATATTTAAGCGGGAGGTTAACCCAAAAGCTAACTGCTTCATTAAAGACCTTCTATTATAACGAAATCTTATTATACAAATTATTTTCACAATAATTAAGGAAAAGTATCCTAATATTCCCTAAACTTATAAAGACTTCGATAATATACGCTAGTACGCTTATTATACTCTAAAATAAGGCTATAATAATACCCAATCTTTTATTAAGCAGCTTTATAACAACTACTATAGCAATAACAGGGTATTATATTTAAGTATAAAGTTTTTAATAGTTATTATAATAATACCTTCCATTACGTATTTTAAGTAATTAACTATTAATATTAAATATAAAAGAGGTTTCTATATACTCTTTTACTTAATACAATATATAAGACTAACCGCTACTACCTTCCTTTAATATAAGGGGTAATCCTTATACCAGAAAGGACATCTATACCAATCTTTTAAATAATTATTAATAACAAAAGGGAGGAGGGTTTTACCTTTTTAACCTAATATATTAAAAATGCGGCTAACGAATTCGAAATTCCTTACCCTTTAATAACTATAATTAACGGGGATTCCCAACTTACCAATACCATCGACTAGACATTCCCTAATATATAGAGATAGCGCTATATATAATATATTAACTATAATATTATTAACTATCTCAAAAAAGATTAAGTACACGGTCCCTTACCCTCGTCATCTACCAAATCTTCACCCAACTACAATATAAAAGAGTAATATAATAAAGAAGATCTTAAAGAACTAAAGCGATATTACGCTCGAATATCGACTACTACTAGAGCTAAAGCGGGTCTCGATCCCTTACTAAATAAGGTCGCCAATACAACGTTAGTACTATTCTTTATATAGTAGTATATAATTTATTCCTCTAATATAACGGACTTCGAACGCGCCTAATCTATCCCAAAAACCAATTTACTAACTAGGAGGACATTATCACATAAATTAGAGAATTACTATTACCTTATAAAAGAGAGTAGGCAGGCTATTATACTAAATACTACTTCAACTTAGGATAAAGAACTATATTACCGAACGAAACTAATAATACGTCTCTTAAGAATTATAATCTTTCAATTCGCGGCAGCTTAATTAAATTATATAAAACTTATCTTCAATATATAAACCACTATTATAAAGTTTATATAGATCTATAAACTAAATCTAATACGCATATATATATATAAAGTGGATAAACCGAGAATAGATAGGCAAGTACCCATATAAATTATTTATATAGGCACTTAATTTTTTAGACCGCTAATAAATTAAATTCAAATCGACGTTACCCTCCTAGTAGCTCTCTAGCACCCCTCTTAAGCCTTATTCAAAGAGCTTTAAAGCCCAGTACAATCTCCCTTATACTTATAAAATAGAGGTATTATTGAATAAGGGTAATAATACCCTAATTATTAAAGAAATTTACTATCTATTCTAATACTTATATTAATAATATATAAATTATTATTTCTACCCCAAGTACTCTTATACTAACTCTCTTATTAAAATACAATGAATAAATACTTCAAATATAAACCAGCCGCTAGAACAATACCTAAAGGTCGCCCGTGTAAGTAAGGAGGACCGTTTAGTAGTAAACCTATACTCGTAGTACTACTAATTAGTAATAAGCCTACCTAATTAACGCTAAAGGGTAAATTATGTAACCTAAACACTATCCGAGCCTTAGTACGCCGTAAATACTCTTACTACAAGAAGGGGGCTAGTCTTAAAGAGATAGATAATAATAACGCCCGTACTCGTACCTAGAATAAAGTACGCAACTATATCAAAGTAACTAACAACAATAAAGATAATAACGAATTAGGGAGATACTAGGAAGCGCAAGCTCGAGAGTAAATAGCTAAAGAGAGGGAGAGAAGGGAGGAAGTTATTAAAATATTATTAACTAGCTTATTGAACGAGCTCTCTAAGCTGTCTAATCCACCAAATGTGAGCTCTGAGCTGTTAAATATAAATATTTAGAGTAGAGTGTAATACGAATTGTCTTGAACCTCTCAATACTACGAGAGCATTACTGGATTGGCGCTGTTAGATTTACTAACCCGCTAAAGACCATTTACTGAGTTGACCCACCTCAAGACATTGAAAATCAAGACTTTTACACCCAAAATGACATATTTTACATGTCAGCTGTCAGACCCCAAAAAGTGCGTACCTCAAGGTTTTGGGTGCGTGCGGGGAGGTTAACTCTTTCTAAATTACAATATCGTAAGGGACCGCTAAACTTATATAGTCTTTATATCCTAACAATAGTATACTAAGTTAATTATTACTAAATATAATAATAGTAAGCTTTACAACGTTGAAATACTATAGCCGCTAGATTATAAGGTCTATAGGGGTGACGATATATCCTTAGAAAAAGCTAAAATTTACTCTAAAAAGATTGGTTTATTAGTTTAAATTTCAATAAGCACCCAGCCAAATATCTCCTTTACCGTCAATAAACTATTAAAGGGTATCAAAAAGCCAACCAATTATTACCTCGTCGTTATAAAGTATTTATAGCGATATTTATCCAAATATCCTGATTTGGGTATTGAGTTGGGTAGTATACTCTCGCCGTTAATAGCCCCATCCTTCCACGTATATACAGACGCCTCCTTTACTAACAATATCCTTTTAAGGAAGAGTATAATTAGCTACGTCGTATTTTTTACTTATAGCCCTGTCCTTTGAAAGTCTAAACGGTAGGATCTTGTTACAACTAGCACGACCGAAGCAGAGTTCACCAATTTAGTACCTACAGCCAAGGTTCTCGATTGGGTTAATAGTATACTGGATGATTTGAATATAAATCTAGGACTTTACAAGATTAATAGAATTCTATATACGAACAGTAACAACGCTAGAGATTAGATTCTCAACCCTAACTTGCTAGCTAGAAATCGATATATCGATATACGATACAAATAGTTAATTAAGGAGGTGGATAGGAAGGTATTTGCAATCGAGTACTTGCCGGGTGATGAAATGCTAGCTGACGGTTTTACGAAGCCGTTAAAGCTAGATAAGTACGCGAGATTCATCAAGTTGATCGGTATGGTTCAGAAGAAGGTTCCCTAGGCTTAATTAACACTATGAAAGATATTACAATATAAATAGTATACAGAGATTTAGACACTGTTTTGGCGGTCTTCCAGTCTATGGGGGTGTGTTGCTAGGTCCCGGGCATTTACTGGGCTGGGCACAGCCCAGACCGCACCACATCTAGCCTTCCAGACTCCGCCAGTCTCCCTCTCTCTTCTTCTCCATAGCACTCAATCAATCGTATCCAACCGCTTGATCTCGTTGGTGATCTCACAGAAAGACTACACTAAAAGGGCATAGTCGGAAGAAGGTTTTATAGTTGGGCGCACGGGCCAGGCAAACATATAGACCCGACTAATCAGGAGGCTCGCATCCTTATCGATACGGCTAACCCGCCTTAGCAGACTTGGCAAAGCCGAATCTTTAATCTTGGGCGCTAGCCCCATGACACTTATAACTAATATAGCGGTAATGGACCTCTTTAATTTTAAATTCGTTAATATAAGAGTATTTATATTTAATATTAGGTTGAGGGGAGTTTAAGTGAGTTTAACAATATAAGTAGAATTTTAGGAAGTATAGGAGGAAAAAAAGGAAATTTTTTCTCTACTAGCTTTATTAGAGAATATTTGGAAGGATATTATATAGGGCAAGGACGAGCTTTATAAATATTATTTTAAGAATGCTAGAGTCTACGAATTTATTGATTCATATAAAAGAGAAGCCGTAAGTAAAAATGTAGGCGAATAATCTCTTTAATTTAGCGAGGTAGCCTGAGACTTCGTTAATCGAATTTGTAAATTGGAATTGGGAGAGGACAAGTACGAAAAAAGAGAATTTACATTATTAATTGAAATTAATAGAATTTATAGTATTATAGAGGAAAATATATAAAAATTTATAGAAAAATTTATAAAGCTAAAATATATATTGGAATAAGTAAAACTATAATTGCCTAATAAATATAAGGATTCATTATATATTGTAAATCCTATAGACGTTGAAGTAATCCCTAAGTACTATTTATATAATTATAAAATTAAGTTAAAATTAGGAGTAGAATCGTTATTTTATTTTACAGCGAGATTAATATTACCCTAGGAATTAAAAATTATTAAATAGTAAGTAAATAATAATTTAGTAAAGGGTTTTATCCGCTTATCGACTTCGGACATCGCCTCCCTAGTTCTATTAGTAAGGAAGCTGGGCGGCGGTGTGAGAATTTGCGTCAATTATAGAGGTATTAATAATATATCTTTGAAAAATACATACCTATTACTATTAATTAAAGAGATACTGGATGCTATTTGTAGGGTTAAATAGTTCTTTAAAGTAAATATAATTATAGCTTTTAATGGATTGCGAATAAATAAGGGCTATAAATAGCTAACGGTATTTATTATACGGTTCTGGCTATACGAATTATTAGTTTATTTATTCGGACTTTTAGGAGTATTAGCCTCTTTCTAAACCTTTATTAACAATATACTATATAATATTTTTGATATCTATATAATAGCCTACTTCAATAATATTCTAATCTTTTTAGAGATTTACGAAGATTACGTTAAATATATCGGGGAAGTATTCTAGCGATTAATCGATGTAGGCCTCTAGATCGATATTAATAAATGCGAATTCTATATATAGAGAACTAAATATTTAAAGCTAAGTATTATTCCGGGCGGTATTGAAATAGATTTTAAGAAGGTAGAACGGTTACTATATAGAAAGTACCGATAAATAGGCGCTAATTATAACGGTTCTTAGGAGTTACAAACTTCTATAGGAGGCTTATAGCCGGCTTTTCTTATATAGGTAAACTACTATATAAGTTTATAAAGAAGACGGTCGAGTAGAAGTAGAATAAAGAATATAATAACACTTTAAAATCTTTAAAGATAGTGTTTATTTTTATACCGGTCCTGAAAATTTACAATTAGGAAAAGCCTACGGTCATCGAAGTCGATACCTTAAATTAGTCGTTAGGAGGTACGTTCTTTTAAATATACAATAGGGAACTCTATTTAGAAGCTTATTTCTTTCTAAAATATTTAGCGGCCGAGTGTAATTATAATATATATAATAAAGAATTATTGGTAGTTATTAAAGCGCTAGAGGAGTAGAGGCTAGAATTAGAGGGAACTATTTAATTTTTTAAAACTATTATGAATTATAAGAATTTGAAGATGTTCGGTACTACGAAGAAGCTTACCCCCCAATATATACGGTAGTTTGAATTCCTATCTAGGTTTAATTTTACAATTAAATACTAATTAGGATTAATTAGTATTAGACCCGACGCTCTAAGCCGGAAGCTAGAATATATTCCTAGAGACAAAGTACATAATAAATTGAAAGTTAAATAAAAGTTATTTATCGACCCCGATTGCTTTAATTAATCTTTTAACAGGCAATTCCTAGACGTTGATAGCGAAGCATTTATAATAAACGCTATATTAGAAGACAGTACCTTCCTTATTATATATATATTGGAAGATACCTTTAAGGAGGAAGATAATAAAGGGCTAAGCATTTATATAAATAAGTTAGTAGATTGTACTTATATTAACTCTATTATAATAGTTAATATTCGGGAAGCTATCCGAACGGGGAACCGGTAGCCGAAATACCTAAAAAGTAAATTTAAAATCCCTTTCGCTGAGTATTATATAGTTGATAATAGGGTAATATTCCGAAATATGTTAGTAATCCCTCTTAATAATAAGAAAGTCTAATTAGAATTGATTTGTTATACTTATTCGTTAGTATAAGGCGGCTACTTAGGTAGGGATAAAATAGTAATATTAATATATTATTACTATTGGCCGGAATTAATTATAATTATTAATATATATTATAGGGCCTATATCCTATATAGTAAAACTAAAGCTATTAGAATATTACTAGCGGGCTTTTTTAAGCCCCTACCAATTCTATATACCCTATAGAAAGATATTTTAATAGACTACGTTACCCTATTCTTTAAATTAAAAAGGGCGGGTAGGGGCGTTGAGTATGAATATGTGTTGGTTATAGTAGATAGATTTATAAAAATATACTATTTTATTTTAATAGAAGGGCTATTAATAGAAGAATTAGGAAAGAAGTTTATTGAATATATTTATATATTCTATAGCTTCCTAGATACTATTACATCCGATAAAGGTGTTTAGTTTATTTTAACTTTCTAGAAGTAGTTATTATAAAGATTGGGTATTAATTGAAGCTCTTTACCCTTTACTATAAAGAAATAAATAATTAGACTAAAAGGATTAATATTGAAATGGAGTAATACTTATAAATATTTATTAATTGGGTATAGGATAATTAGGTAAATTGGCTACCCCTAATAGGATTCTAGGGAAATAATTTCAAATTTATATTAATAGGGGTTACTCTATTCTTTACTAATTATAGTTTTTACCTTCAGATAGGTAAAGAACCGACTATATTGTTACCGCTAGACGTTATAGATGTGTAGCGAAAGTAGATTTTTAGTATTAATTAATTAGTAATATACTTGAAAAGGGTTTAGGATTTTATTAAGATTTCTTTTTTATAAGTATAGGAGCGTTATAAGGCGGCGGTAAATGAGAATTATATAAACGTTCTTCAATATAAAGTTAGTGATGAAGTAATGTTTAATATGAGTAACTATACTACGGGACGACTATATGGTAAGTTGGCACCCCGGTTCGAGGGCCCTTTCTGTATTATAAAAGCTACATCGTATATAGTAGAATTAGCTCTACTTGAAAATATAAAAGTTATTTACATTATTAATATATTTTGTATTAAACTTTACGTCGAAGGATTCCCTAGTTAAAGGGAATTGATAATAAATATTAGGGTAAATGAAGGTATAGTTGTTATTAGGACGGATGATTTCGAGGAGGATAGACGGTGGGAATTCGAAGAATTATTGGATTATTAAAAGATCGATGGCTTTTAGAAGTATTTAGTAAAATACTTATATTACCTACCGGACTAGCAGCCTACTCAGAACTTTAATAATTATTAAGAGTTAGTTTAGGAACTTTACAATTAATACTTAGAATTAGGCCTTCTATACTTAAATCTTAAAAAAGAATAGAAAATATAGTAAAGAACGAGGATATTCTTAAAGGATAATACCCCTAATATTATCCCTATTATAGTAACTTTAGCGGTAGATAATTGGTACGTGAGAAGAAGCGTAAAATTAAATAATAAGTAAAAAAGTAGTAAAAATTAGTAAAAAGAAAGGAATTTAGTTCGATTTATTTTGTATACCCTAATTAAATACCTTTTAGTATACCCTTTTTTAGAGCGATTGTTAATAGTACCGAGAGATAGTACGTTTTACAGTAGTTTTATTCTTTTGTCCCTTCGATAGGCCTATTCCCACTATAGATGAAGATTGGATAAATTAGAATCAGTAGAAATAATAGTTAGGGGAGTTAAAAGGAGTAAAGTTAGTAAAAACAATAGTTATTAGCGAGATTCGAATTGAGGGTCTCTATACTATTTATACTAGTAGTAGTTACGGGCGTGCTACGTAAACCACTATACTATAGGCGTCCCTATAGTACCCCCGGGGGGGTTAGTAATAGTAAGAGTCGTTGAGGTTCTCTATATACGTTCATTGGGCTGGTTTTCCGACGTATAGCTAGATTGTTGGGAGTAATAATAGCTCTTACGGCGGAAGGGTTAGATTTAGCGATATTTTAGCTAGTATTCTAGATTTATAATGGAGTTGAGGTACCGGCAGGCGCTAAATAGCTTCCTGCTTTAGTAAAACTTTTACTAGTATTTGATTGGGCGTAGCTACGGGAAGACTGGGTAAGCCCTACTTTGTTAATAAAGAATATAGTGTCGGATTTTCGAGCGGGAGCATTATTTTAAGAGGGGGGTAGTATCACAAGCATTACTACCATATTCCTGTATATAGATAGAGGGTATTGCATTGTATTAGTATAGTTAGCTGTATAACTACCTAAGTATAGTACAGCAGTCACGTACACACGTGCTGGGTCCGTGTACTGGACCTACACGGCGTGCCCTATATAGTTCTCGTGCGCGCACAGGATTCTCTTCCTGTTCCTCGTATAATAATTAAAGTCTTACCTTAGTGCTTGCTCGCGCCCCGTGATAAGGTCTCTTTTATTGAGGGTAGAAGGTAATAGTCGGTTTTTATAATAGTATTTAGAGCCTAATAATTATAATAGAACTATAAATTACTACCTAGCTTCCGAATAAAAAGGACGGGTATTACAGTTAGAAAATTATTAGTACGGATAAACCCTTTATTAAAAAGGTCTTTGAGCATCTTCTTTAATATAAGGAGTTTTTTTTAAAACATATTGTAGAATAAACTATAAGAGAGTAGTATATCCTTACTATTTTCGTCCTTCTTAATTTCTACTTTATAATGAATACTAGGGCGATTGTCACAGGGTTGACATTGCATATAGTGTGCATTACTTGTTCTGCCTTGCAAGCAGAACATAGTCCATCTTTTGGTGGCCTTGGCGACCTGGGCATATGCACCCTTGGCCTGTCATAGTATGCTCTGCTTAACGGTGGGATGCTACGGGTTCAATTCCCCGCAGTGGCATTTTGGAATAACGGGTTTTTCGTGCGCTTGCGACCACGGTCGCCGTAGGAAGACAGCGAGCGTACAAAGAGAAACAATGCTAACCGTCCGCACTACGAAGGCTAGTAGTAGAAAGCGACCAAAATGTCATAGGCTACCCCATTGGAACTATTAGTTCGGGTGGTGCTATATAGTCGTCGTACGGCGATAAATCCTTCGCGACATTGTCGCCCCTTTCCTTGGGCTGGAGAGGGCCTTATCTTAAAGTCTTACGAGTTAAGACTTCGCTTAAGGGAAGGTAGTGTCACAGGGTTGACATTGGCTATATAGTGTGCATTACTTGTTCTGCCTTGCAAGCAGAACATAATCCATCTTTTGGTGGCTTTGGCAACCTGGGCATATGCACCCTTGGCCTGTCATAGCGATACAAATTTACTTTATTTACCTCCAACTACTTCTATACGTAAAGTAAATCGTATATATTAGCGGGAATCCTCTCCTTTAATTCTTTATCAATTATATCGACTTTAAATTTAAAAACCTTTTTAATATTTCGTAGGTTAACGGCGAATATCCCTACTTCCGCAGTCTTTTTACCGCTCTTCTTTTTAATTTTATTTAATATAGTTACAAGGGTTATAGTTAAATAATAAACAGCCTCTCTAATTTCTATAGCGCACGAGGAAGATTCTTTAAACATATATCCTAAATACAAAATCTAGTACCTGGCTACCCTATACTAAAA